GGGGGGGGGGGGGGGGGGTGCACAGGGAGGTTATACATGAACAGAAAGAGGGTCTTAAGCCTGCAGGATACAATATTTGATGCAAAATGATTGGGGAATCACGCAGCGACCTTTGAGTGCTTTCTGCAGTGTCTATTAATATTTGCAAGATGACAAGAACGATCTGTTTTCTCTGCTAGATTTAGAGCTTACAACATGTATAATAAGAAATCAATATGAAATGTTTAGGAGAAAATAACACTATTTGGAGTTTTCTACTCTTCATTCAAGCTTGTGACCTCCCAAAAAGAAATGCTTGTAGCTTCTGATCTTTAACACTCCTCTTATTACCTTGACAAAGGTATGCTTCGGTGTGTGTGTCTCCTCTGGATGGTTCACAGTGTACCTATTTTCATGTAACACAAGGGAGCGTCATGTTCAAACCACTTGTACGTTATTTTCATGTCATCATTAGTACATGTGGTGTACAGTTCATACATGTCCGTGCCCAGTCTGATGACTCTGTCTCCATGCAGTTCAAAGCACCCCTCTCTCACAGAGCTGCTGTAACTTCCTCCTGAGGGGAACTCACTCCGTCTCACTTCTCTGCCCTTTCCGTCAAACGTCCTGTAACAGGAAGCAGATGATGAAACCGTGGAATATTGAGATATTACTTTTAAGCTGTCAGAGGACATTTTCAAGTTAAGACATTTCAGCTTGTCAGAGGAGCCTTAAGACTTGCATCATACAAACGGCTACATGTGGTGCCACCAATGGAGGTGATTGGCTGTGTGAAAATGATACCCAACCACCAGATTAGAAAATAGGCTTGGTGTGTAAAAGTATTTAATATTTTGTTCTGAAACAGTAAAAAATGGTCTTTACGAACCAGTTACCCTGTGTGAAAACATGTTAGTAAGCAAATTGATTCCCTTTTCTTGCCTCGTTACTAGCTCTTCTTATAGGTTTGTCATTTTAAACAAACAAATAATTGATTAATTAGAAATTAAAGTATCATACTTCTAAGTGACGAATCTGACATTGTTAACTGTGTTTTAAAAGGACAATCTTAACTTTAGGGATAATTGTATTGCTTTTTCTGAGAAGCTGAAACAATTTGTAGAACAATTCTGTCCATTTTATAAGCTTACGGTTTGAAATGTCTTATATGAGTAGTGACATGCAGTTAAGTGCAGAACGTTTTACAACATGTTACCATCTAGAACACAACCACAAGTCAGAGGATTCCCGTATTCATTGGGAATCATCCTCTGGGGACATTGAATGTCTGCCACACATTTCCTCGCAATTTACCTACATAAGGCGTCATAACATCTTGATAGAAACAATAAAAAAAGAAAGGTGACAGGAGAGATAACTTCATATTCATTAGTTCAATATTGTTCAGTATATTTCAGACTGTAGTATTTGAATGATAATAGATGCAAGGTAAAAAAAAGAAGGGGTACAGGATCATTTAAAGTTATATGGCAGCGCTGTGTCAACATTTTCATATTATTGTAAGGACCATGCATAAAATACATACATTTTAAAAAGAGAAGGCATGGTTGATATCAGATTTAGTATGTAAAAGATAGTTCAACAGACTTCTAAAATCAGAAAACACAATGTTTGCTAGCGGCCTACCTAATGAGCCCTGGGACATCTATCCCATGAGGCACTGGGCCTGATGTTGACAGGGCAAAACGTCCGTTGGGATTTTGGACTTGAATTTTGAGGAAAAGTGACACCTAAGAAGAAAAAACGACATTCAAACAAGGCTATATTTTATTTGACATGTACTGACTGCACTGCATTGACTGACATGTAAAGCAGAGGACTTACTCGAACATGCATGTCTTGAAAAAATATGAGCAGCGTTTGTCTGAGAAGCTGGAATTCACCTTCGGATAAAGATGAGTATACCTACAGTATACATAAAGAAAAACAGGCCAGACAGGATGCAACTCTATTAAAAACTGACAGCTGGAATCCAGACAGTATGCACATGCATGTACAAACACTTGCACATACTGTAACATGCAGCATAAAACAGTCAATATGATAGTTAAAGGTTGATTTACACAACAGCTCTCAACATACCTCGATGATCTTCCTGTGTGTCTCGCCCACTTGGTTCACAACCACAGGAGTGTCTTTTACAAGTTCCCTGATGGTATCTATGTGATTGTAAGTGATGAGCAGCAGGTCTTTAGGCCTTGGACAAAGGAAGATTTGATATTTGAATGCCATGACCACCAGCTCGTAAAGCTACAAGAGGGAAAAAGGAAGAAGGTATAAACTTTAGGGACATGCCACCACTGCGATCAAACCAAACTGGCTTTAATACTCTAAGACTGGCAATTTTTGACAACTTATTTTGACCCTGTTGACACCTTTAGAGGACTTAAATCATTAATTAAACCCTCAGTATTTGACCTGATAAAATTTCTGAAAATATAAAACAACAGTAGGCCAGTGTTGGGCAGCCCTTGCGTGGCCAGTCATAACCCTTGATTATACTGTTTCTTTACAATTATTGATCATGTATTGCAAGATTTTTGTCTTTAATATGATACGATGTTTACAATATGATGTATGCTGGGGTAGGCAATATTTCTCAAATGCCTTGAATATGTTTGTAACCTCTTTTTTTCCTTTTTTCGAAATTGCCTGACCTGGTTACCATTGAATAACATATGCTGACAGGTTGTTATGGAACTTTTGGCCAATGATGACAGAAGTAAACTGCCAAAAGTAGTTAAGCACAACTTTTAAATAACAATGTTTGAAATGTAATGTTATGAAATAAAATCATTAAAGTGACCTCATGTAATAAATTCCTTTCATCTTGTAAATACCCTGTCCATGCTGGCCGGGTTCAGCCTCATGATGGAGGCGTGTGCTATCCGAGTTAGCACTGTTTTCAGGGTTCGGTGGGAATATAGCTGCTGAGGTTTGAGAAGTTCATCCATAAAGTCTTTACTAAACATGGCTCCCACAATTCCATTCATAACTGTGAGTGACACAGAAACAGAAAGGTGGTTAATTATTGTTATTTTATGCCCATTGGAGACTTATTAGACAATAGAACCCTGTGCTGAGACATGGCCCGACACCAAGTTTCCTAAATGGCAAGATACAAATACTTTCAAGTTGTTTAACCTCTTTTTTGTTGTTGTGTTTATCCTTATAATACTACAACGGCTGTGCAATTAGTAAACAAGATAAGATAAGGCTTTATGCTAGGCTATATAATTACACAACTCTGCCAAATTATTCAATTTTCTTTAGTCAGTATATTCTACTTGTAACCGAGTATATCTACACCTCGGTATTACTAATTTTACTTATCCTAAGTAAAAGGTCTCAATACCTTTTCACTAATGCTACAGGGGCACAAGGAGCTGACTATCATGTATTGCATGAATACCTCTTTTTCTGTCATTTTCTGACCACACTCCTGCATCCGAGTAAAAAACGAAAGAAAACACTTGTCATTTGAGATTGTCAGCGCATGTAAAGCAAATGCTGCACATGGTTAGTTTTCAAGCATCAGCTATACAGCTTGTCAGGAGGAGGGGTGACTGGGAGCTAAACACACGCACCTCCCAAGCCTGTCATTTCTCTAGCTACCTCTACCTTTCTCTGAATTGTCCTCGGACGTGTTGAGAGCTTGTAGGCGTTGGTCCAGTATGTAAAGCATTTCCCCACCAAGATTAATGAAAACCAGGGGGAGAGTTCTCATAGACATCCTGCAATGGCAAACAAGGGATTCACTCGTAGTCAAAAGCTGGTGCACAAGTGGGTGTTGGAAGCAGTTTAGCCCTTCTCAGATCTAAAGCACTCCTGTCATTTAAAAGGCATTATCTGAGCTATCTTCCTGTTGTGAATCGCCACTACTAACAAAGTGTCCATGTCAAGTCTTATCTGATCGTGCTTCTGCAGATAAACTGTCGCATTAAGATGCAACAGGTGGTGAGGAAGAGGATCAGCAGAAGCCAGACACAAGCTTATTGGCCAGGATAAGGGTGACGTGCCAGCACAGCAAAACCAACCAAAGAAGGGAAATTACTGGGTATATTTTACATTTTTGTTTAGTACAACATTGTGCTATAGGCGTGTTGATGGTATGATGCAAACATAAAAGTTAAATCGCCTTATTACACTTCATGGCCAAATGAATGTGGTAACATCAACAGTACAAGTACAAAGTATGTCCTATGACATTTTTTAGAAGTAAATGCGAGGCTTAGCTTAGCATAGACTTGAATCTTTGGTGCTTTATGGCAACCTCAATTGATGACAAGGTTTCAGGAAGTCACTGCGCCCAATCAGAGAAAAGTCCTGTGCGTAACCCCCTTTAACCTTTAAGCTTAAGCAAAGAAGATATAACTTCTCTAATTAGTGAGCTTTACAGTTACTGGTACACTTTTCTTCCCTATGTAAAAAGTAAGGCTACATCTTTCCCTATTCTTGCAGTCTTGCTCTCTGGATGTCACGGTTTGTGAAACAAGCAGGACCCAAATGCAGATTTAAACTGAAACTTCCTTTATTTCAAGGCTATGAGATATATGTACAATGACAAAAACAGAACACTCACCGCAGAACTAGTCAGGGACAAAGGACGAACCGACCAAGACAGACAGAAAACCCAGAACTTAAATACACACAAGACTCAATCACACAACAAGACACAGGTGAGGAGGGAGGAGAAAACACAGGGACCCAGGTGAACATAATCAGACAATTAGACACACCAGGGAAACTAATGACAAGACAATAACCCAAAGGGAAACGTGACATGGAAAACAGCAAAAAACACCCAAACCTACAAAACTATAAACGTGACATAACATGAGAATCGTGACACTGGAGCTTCAAACTTCGAAACTCTCCTCTCAACCTCAGCAAGAAATGGAATATGTACTTTTCTGATACAATTGCGTACAGATTTATTCAAACTAAGTGTAAATAAACAGTCCTTTACAAAAACTATACAAATGTATGTCAACAAGGGTGGTATTGTATACCTATATTTGTTCCGATACAAGTACATTTCTAAAATCCTTTTTAGAAAAAAGTTTAGGTCATTAATGAATTGTACATGTAAAGTACATGCAGTGTATAAAGGATATACTATAGCTAAATTGACTTGTTCCTGAAGACTCATTTTACTAACTGAACTGTTAAGATATAATCTGTTCACAATTGTAATGTAGCCCTTAGTCTTTGTGTCTTTCTTTCTCTCTCCCTCCTATTCAAATAAAAGATTAGGGAGTAGAAACATGCAAAATAATATTTGATCGTTATGCTCACTGTTACAGCAGCTCACTCACACTCAAACAGTTGAGTTTGCCACAGTCATCTCCACGGGTGGAAGCTTTTCTTGTGAAACATTTTGCATATTGACAATCGGGGAAAATATGTCTTGAAAAGAAAGCTAAACAACATCTGGGAAATAAAGCTAAACAAATCCTGATCAAGCTCAATGGAAAATCGATTAGTCAAGAAACCGATCATGGAGATCCATCTTTACATCTGGCTTCTCTCTATGTAAGTAGGACCTATAATTGATAAAAAAATGTCCTGTGTAGACCGTTTTTATTTGCCTGTTGTTAAACAACTAGTTCAACTTTCTTCTGCTATTGAAATATTTACACTATCATAATCGTGTCTTCCCCCCATCAGAATAACCGCCTGTTCAGGGAAAGGTTTCAATGATAAAGAAACCCTGGATTCACAATTTCATAACCTGGACTGGATGAAGTCTATTCCTGACGAGACTCCAGTCTCTGCTATCTCAATTCCTGGAACACACAAAAGCTTGTCACGATATGGAAGATATAAATGTCAAGTTTGGACCTTGAAAGACCAACTTAATGTAGGAATACGATATTTTGGTTTGCATGCTGAGACTAGGCTGCGGGATAAAGACAACATTTATATTCTGGATGGAAACATGATGTTTTGGAAAGACATTCGATTTGATGAAGTTCTAACGGAGATTATCGATTTTTTATCAGACCACAGTAGTGAGACTGTGCTGTTGAAAGTGAGTCTCCATCATTCTTTCTTTTACAAATCAAAAGTTGACGAACTCTTGAAGAAATTGATTGAAAACTTCCGAAATAATATATTGACTACATGGAACGTACCAAATATGAAAGAGGCAAGGGGCAGGATTATTTTTCTACAGACTAAAACATTTAATGATGGAACAGTAACCTACAACTCAAAGTTCTTTGAACATAAAAAGCTAAAGAATGTTGAAGCTCAAATAGAGCACCAAAAGGCATACATGTGTCGCGGTGTTATTGTAAAGACAAACCGTAAGGCAAAATGGTGGGCAACTCCTAAAACATTGGCTAAAGACATTAACATGCAGCTTTATGACCTTGTTGTGGAACATAATAGAACCTCCTCTAACCGGGGCTGCTTAGGTGTCATCAGCATGGACTTCCCGAGTGCCGATCTGATTAGACACATCACTCAGCTGAGTCCTTGCAATTGTGGTCAAGGTGCAAAAGGAGGACATGGGGGAGAGAGACCTCAAATGACCATCAAGCCACCAATTAAAATGGACATAGAGACAACAACTGAAGATGAAGACCTTTTTTTTCCATCTTTTGATACAGAACCTACAACCCAATCTTTAACATCCGGTCATATTACGGTTTCCTCTAAAGCAACACCTCAACCAGAGCCCACAACACCTCCACCGGAGCCAACGACACCTCCACCAGAGCCCACAACACCTCCACCGGAGCCCACAACACCTCCACCAGAGCCCACAACACCAGAGCCAACAGAACCTCCACCGGAGTCCACAACACCTCCACCACATCGGATTTATCGACCAACCCCTCTGTCTAATGCATTATATCCAGTTTTTATCCCTATTATCCCCCTTAAAATAGAGCCCAAAACACAGTGGAGAAGGCGTAACTGTCATAGAGGGTAAATCGAGTAAAAAAATCCCTACGGTAAAATAATATTTTCTTCTAGAGTAAACATTGAATAAAAAGATTTTTCTGACCATGTTGATTTTTGTCTCAGATATTTAGTCCTTTCGGTACTCAAATAATTCAGAATATTGTTTGAAATCTTTCACAAAGTTCTCACTATTTAACTGTAACACAATTATGATCTGAATCTTAGCAACATGTCTTTTGTCAAAGATTTGAAAAATCTGTCCTCCCTACTGCATGAACATGTCTTAAACGGAGTGATTTATAAGTTAACTAAAGCAAGCACTTGACATATGCTGTAGGCTTGAAAATATGTGAAACCCTTTTGTAGCATGAAGTATATAATTTTTTTAAATATGGCCTTGTCCCGCTTTGGTGAAAACCGTAAATCAACTGTGGTTTGTGAATTTGCCTTAAGTTTAAAAAACTACAAAACTATTTATAGACCCTATTGTAAATGTATCAAACAGACAAATACATTGTAACGTTTTGTCATAGATTAAGCTACCCAGCAGTGACAGAAATTACAATTATTATTGATCAAAAAAGTATTCAGATTTACAAGAGATCCTAATCCTTCATCCATCTAAAAAATACTCCATTGTGAAAAAAACAGTCCTGAATGCAAATTGTTACTTCAGTAGAAATTAATTAGCACCGGTTATCTGCCAAATGCTGGTCAAATATTCAAGGGTTTAGAGTTGCATCATCCCTCACCATTCAAAAAACAATGTTAATCTTTTGAGCAACGAATACAATTTGAACATGTACTAGCCCTTTGGCTGGTGGAGTTGCACCCTTATTGTAAGCTAAATGTATCTTTTGTATCAAAAGTAAAAGTACTCCTAATGCAGAATGGCTCCTCAGTGTTATATTATCACATAATTATTATAATATTCTGTTCTTATCCATAACGAATGTATGGAAAAGTATTTTAATGTTGGTCAATATGGAGACCATTTTAGATATCATTTTTTTAATGAAAAAATTAAGTGAAAGTGTCATTTAAATGTAGGAAAATAAACACATATCTTTCTCTAAAAATGAAGGGAAGTCTAAACATAAAATGGAAATACTCAAGTAAAGTACAAGTATGCCGTGCTTAGTAACTTAAGTTAATTGACTTAGTCACTTTCATAAATATTTTCTAAAATAATATATATTATTCAAAGAGAGCCACTCTGCGATGATTCAGTTGGATGCTAATACTACTTTTCATTTTATGCTACACATGATTATTTTTGTTTTGTCAACTGTATTTATTTGATAACAGTGAGGTACTTTAGCAGATTTAGATTAGAAGGAATTAGAATTAGGCATACTAAAGGAGGCCTCTAAATCATATCCATTTTGGTAGTACTTTACATTGTAATTTTAAGACACTGTCTTGTAGGTAGTGATGGCAGTTTGACACTGAAGCTTCGAACGGAGCTTCAACCCTGGACTTCCTATTCCATAGAAGCAGTGCTTCGAAGCTTGCTTCAAATCACGTGACATGTGACGTCCGAAGCAGCAACTGCTTCAAATCACGTGACATGTGACGTCCGAACCAGCAACTGCTTCATTTCCTGAATGAATCAACTCACTGGTTCGCCGTCCAATCAGGTGATTCAATGCACTCTGCCTCGTCTCTATTCTGACAGGTGACAGATTGAAACAGTTTCAAATTTGAGCGCTTCAACACTTTATAACCGCTCTAAACAATGCGCAATGTGTGGGTTGTTGTCGTAGTTTGCATTGTTGCTGTTGAGTTGTTGTTGGTATTGCATTTGAATTGGATCATTATAGAGCAAGCCAGGAAGAAAAATAGGTCGTTCTGGCTCGTGAAACACTTCGAAACGTGGAGAAGTTGTAAACAAAAAGACAATGAGTAATATAAAAACACTTTGATGGTCTAAGGAATTGATAGCCCAGTGGATAGAGTCGGCGGCTGGGATGCGGCGATATCCTCCGCGCAGCTGGTTCAAAGCTCGGAATAGTTAAACTTTTAATCATTGCTTTTCAACTTTAATACTTTAATAACTGATAAAAGGCCCTCTCCGCCCAAAAAAATGTTAAGCACTCTCTAGTCTCTTCTCAATAACCCAATACACACTATTATCAATCTTTAATTGCAAATAGAACATGATATTCAGTCTTAGTGTGTGTGTGTGTGTGTGTGTGTGTGTGTGTGTGTGTGTGTGTGTGTGTGTGTGTGTTTCTCGAATATTTTTCAAGGCAAAGATGCGTTAAACCCACTGCAGCCTTGCACTTCGCCAGGAGAGGTCGCTGTAACTGAAGCTTCGAGAAATTAACCTAGTTCCGACACAATTGTCCAAGTGGTTCGAAGCTTCATTCAAAGCTTCATTTTGCCATCACTACTTGTAGGTACTTGCAGCCGAGTTCAGGCTATAATTCTACATTGTGGTGATGCAGTTTTACTTGCTTTACCTACTTTTTGTTTCCCAATTTTCCTCATGCATGCATATGTAATTGAGAGAGAACTGCCCTCAGAGGCAGCGGTGGGAAGTAACTATCTACTTACTTGAGTATTTGAATCTAATGCTTCTTTGTAATTCTACTCCACTACAACTCTGGTACTTCTACTCAAGTACAAGATGTGAGTACTTCTCCCACCTCTGCTCGGAGGCAGCAGGTTTATCTGTTTTACTGGTGCTCATGTGACTA